CGCGCTTCCTTCCAGACCAGGCTCGTGGTTTTCGACTCTATGGCACCAGAGCAAGAAACCAATCCTTAGGAAAATCGAAAAACCCTTGAGCAAAACGCCCTTCAGTGAAAACTTTATGGAGCACTCCAAATGCGCACTGCAGCAGCACGTTCGAATGCCGATGTCTAGTGGACCGGTACAGATTTCCCCAGTCGACTTCTCTGGGCGGGCGTTCTCTCAACACACGGCAATCGGGGTGCAAGCAGCTAGGGATCCTTGTGGATTAGCCTGGTGTCTGCGGTCCCGCTTCCAGGAGGCTCCCCAGAGATGCCGCTGCAGCACCGGCGAGGCCGCGGGCGATCGAACTTTTCGGACTCAAGGCATCGTCACTTGGCGCACGAGTCGATCCTGGTACAGTGGACGCATACGATAGGAAGTCTTGCTGCAAGAGACGTCGGGGTACTCGCATTCGTCGGTCTCCGAGGGCCCCACGGTGCGCCAAGGCTTCTGCGGGCCCCTGGGGCCACCGGCAGATGCGAAATTTCCGCGGGCATATGCTTGCAGGCCGATCTCTTCTTTGATGTATCTTTTCCGTCCAGACTCCAGGAGTCTGCCTTCGTGGCGCTGGTCAATTGCAAACGTAGACTATGTGATGCTTTCGCAGGGAAGGCGCTGGCATCGACCCGGGGCCAATGTTCGAAGCCGTTCTCCACGAATCAGGGGCTGTTCGCTGGGAAGCGCGCAACCAGTTCGATCGGGCCCCCGCCCTGCCGCTGCGGCGCGGGCCACGAAGTAGAGTGGCCTCACGGGGGAGCCCGCACTGGCCCCAGAGGCCTCCTTGTTCGCCCACGTCCCGAGAAGCTGTGGTGGCCTGGTCCACGACCCGAACACCGTCGGAACTGCGCGCGGGGGCACCGGCAGTGTTGCCACGGGTTTGCCAGGGGCACGCACGAGCTTCGTTGAGCGGTGGCGGAGCCAGGTCAAGCGGCTCACGGGAGCCGCAGTCTCGCGCAGGCGCGCGCCTCCGTGACCGATTCGACCCGCCGGTCATCCGCGCAGCGAGTCTGTCGACGGCGTGCCGCTGGGCGGCGGGGCAGAGCCGTGGAGGCGGCAGAGAGGATCGCCTTGCCCCAGCCCTTGGCCTCGCCCTTGCCCCAGCCCTTGGCCTCGCCCTTGGCCCAGCCCTTGGCCTCGCCCTTGGCCCAGCCCTTGGCCTCGCCCTTGGCCTTGCCCTTGGCCTCGCCCTTGGCCTCACCCTTGGCTTTGCCCTTGGACTTGCCCTTCGCCGTGGCTCCGCCTGGCGCCTCGGCTTCCTCCTCCTCGCCGGGGGCAGGGCCCACGTACGTCCACGTGAAGGCCACCTGGGGGAGGGCAGCAGAAGAGGAGGAGGAGGAGGAGGAGGAGGAGGAGGAGGAGGAGGAGGAGGAGAAGGAGAAACAGGAGGAGGGGAGGAGGAGGAGGAGAGGGAGGAGGAGGAGGAGGAGGGAGGAGGAGGAGGAGGAGGAGGAGGAGGAGGAGGAGGAGGAGGAGGAGGAGGAGGAGGGAGGAGGAGGAGGAGGAGGAGGAGTGAGGAGGAGGAGGGGAGAAGGAGAAGAGGAGGGGAGAGGCGGAAGAAGAGGAGAGCAGACGTGGCGGCACGGCGGGCGGCGGGAGGGAGTCGGGGGCAGCGGGCGGGAGAGAGGGGGCGGAGGCGGGAGGGCAGCAGATGGGGAGAGAGGCCTGCAGGAGTGGCGGGGGCGGGTGCAGGGGGTGGGCGGAGGGAGGCGCAACGCTCTGGTGCACGCGGAGGGGCGCGTGCTCGGGGTGGCGTCGGAGGACGGAGGGTGAGGCAGGGCGAGAAGTACGAGGACGAGACGGCAGTGGAGGCCCGAAAGCCTGGCGCGGAGGGGACAGGAGGGACGAGGAGAGGCTGAACACAGGAGCGGACGGACAGTTTACGCGATTGCCCAGGAAAGCACGTGTTACAAGGCGTAAGAGACAGGATGGAGGATGGCGGAGACGTTTACTCATGACGGTTCTCCATCTGCAATGTGAGATGCCTATCCAGACCCCCCGACGTCCTGATTTGCAACGCGTGGGATTCCAGAGCTCTCGCCTTATGTTTCGCGCGCGTTTGGCGCTCTGGCGCTCTGGGTTGCTTCGTGCGCCCTGCGTCTTGAGGCGGCCCAAGCCCAGAAAGCCAACAGTCATACCGACAAATAGCAACCCTCTTTTTGTTCAGGACGGGTAGTAGGGATGACACACGGATCCAACTGGAGAGCACGCATCCAATTATGGAGAGCCGTCGGCCTCCGCAGCAACTGCGCGTGCAAACAGAAGCGCACGTGTGGGCGATTTCGGAAATCCTGATCCCAGACATGTTGCCACCTCTTGCGAGAGGCCTGTTACTTTCGCTGGCCTTCCGCAAGGGAAGAAGGATGTCCACTCCTGCAGCCCTCGAAGGCGAGGCCCCTCCTGGAATGCGCCATGTGCTGCCGGCAGATGGGGAAAGATCTACCTGGGACCACCGTCGCACACCAACCGATGCGGAGGAGGAGGAGGAGGAGGAGGAGGAGGAGGAGGAGGAGGAGGAGGAGGAGGAGGAGGGGAGGAGGAGGAGGAGGAGGAGGAGGAGGAGGAGGAGGAGGAGGAGGAGGAGGAGGAGGAGGAGGAGAGGAGGTAGGAGGACGAGGAGCAGGGGAAGGAGGGGGAGGAGGAGGAGGGGGAGGAGGACGAGGGAGTAGGAGTAGAGTAGGAGGAGAGGAGGAGGGGGAGGAGGAGGAGGGGAGGAGGAGGAGGAGGAGGAGGAGGAGGAGGAGGAGGAGGAGGAGGAGGAGGAGAGGAGGAGAAGGAGGAGGAGGAGGAGGAGGAGGGAGGAGGAGGAGGAGGAGGAGGGGAGGGGGAGAGGGGAGGGGGAGGAGGAGGAGGAGAGGCGGAGGAGGAGGGGAGGAGGAGGAGGAGGAGAGGAGGAGGAGGAGGAGGAGGGGGAGGAGGAGGAGGGAGGAGGAGGAGGAGGAGGAGGAGGAGGGAGGTAGGAGGAGGAGAAGGAGGAGGAGGAGGAGGAGAGAGGAGGAGGAGGAGGAGGAAGAGGAGGAGGAGGAAGGAGGAGGAGGAGGAGGAGGAGGAGGAGGAGGATCCCCGCACGCTGCGCAAGTGAGCAGTCGTCTCAGGGCGAACGCGCGGCGCGCGCCCGCGGCGGCCCGTAAAGCGGGACAGGCCTACGCGGGCGGGCCGTGCGACGCTCTCAGGCGGCCTCGTCCAACGAGGGCACCCGAAGAAGGAGGGAGGAGAGAGGGAGGGGGCCGAGAAGCTGCAGACGACTGCAATCAGCGGGCGCGATGGGGATAAGAAGGAGCATCCCCGCACGCTGCGCAAGTGAGCAGTCGTCTCAGGGCGAACGCGCGGCGCGCGCCCGCGGCGGCCCGTAAAGCGGGACAGGCCTACGCGGGCGGGCCGTGCGACGCTCTCAGGCGGCCTCGTCCAACGAGGGCACCCGGGCGGCCAAGGGAGGCCGCAGCAGCCATACCCAGGCTCAAAGCCCTTGCGAAGTGACAAGGTTTCGGCGGGCGGCCGCGAGCTGAATGGGCCACACAGCTGGGCCAACATTCAGAAAGGATGCGACGAGGAGGTCGCTTGCTTCGGCGAGGTAAGAAACGCGGTCCCGAGCGGCTTCAGCCAATGATGGGAGGACTGCAGAGGCGGCAGCATCGTGGAGATAGCGCTCTGTACTGGAAGCTAGCCGCCAGCGATCACGCCAGAAGACGCGATTAATGCCGTCCGAAATATCGGTTCTGAAGCGCAGCGCAGGGGACAGATCGAACCCCGATGGCGCTCTGGCGAGCGGGACGCCCAGCGCCGAAAGAAGATCGAGCCACCGAGTGCGGAAGCCGCTTTGACCGAAGGTCAATAGGGGATCGGTGGGACTCAAATCTCTAAAGACCAGCTCCATCATCCTGACCACTGCTCGATCGGAGCACCGAGCGTGTTGACGCTCTCCGCCAGACCCCCGGGCCTCCGGAACAGAGATGCTCAGCAAAGCGTCGCCCGTGGACTCACGGCGGTCAATGGGCAGAGTGAGGTCGCTCCGGCGGGCGGTTGCCAACTCACCAGGCCTCACGGACATAGTGAACCCGGCAAGCAGCAGGGTGGCCATATCCGGCCAGTCCCATGCGAGGCACAACGCTACCATGGCGCGCAGCAGAGCACGCGGTAGCGGTGGGAGGGGGCAGGGAGGCTTGGAAGGGATCCACCGCTCCGCCACATCCCACGCCTCGGTGAGGAAGCCCCTCCAGTGGGGCTGAAGGGCCTGTGCTCCCCGGATCGCATTCACGAGGACGAGGCGGGGGAAGCCAGCATCGTACAACCACACGCCGAAGGTCGCGAGCGCTCTCCCGAGCAAGATGCCGCTGCGAGCCCATGTGGCAAGTGCCACTCCTGTGTGCTCGGCGCACCACACGTCAAACGCCTTAAGCGAACGAGTGCGCTGGTCGCCGCAAGAGGGGACGCGCCGAGAGTGGCTCTCCACCTTCACCCCGAGGGCCTCGGAAGCCCCCTCGGGAAGGGCAGGCTCCAGAGAGGCAGGCCAGTCCTGGCGCCCTGCCACGAAGGCTGACGCGGGCGGCTCTTGACCAGAGGGATTGGCAGGAGTGGTAGCTGCCGCTCCGGCGGAAGCCCGAACACGCCTGCGCTTGCGACGCGAGGTGCGGCCGCGTTGCTCGGCGCGGGGGGCCTCGACGACCTCGCCGGTGCTCGGCGCGGCTTCCGGCTGGCGGTCCGTGCCGTCCAGGATCAGAGGCCTGAGTCCTGGGGAGTGCTCGCGCCGCCTGCGGTCAACAGCGCACAGCGTCTCGGAAAACGCAGCCGAGCGGGTGGCGGCAGGTGCTGCGGAGCGGGAGCGCTCATCGCAACTAATGGCGGTCCGTGGCGTGACGGGCGCCGCAGAGCACGGGCGCCCGACGCCACGGCGCTCGCGCGGATGCGACGCCTGGGCGCCCGAATGAGCCCTAGCCTCGACCACGTCGCGATAGCTAGCCGTGTGCTTATCCGCACGCTCCTTCGCTTGAGCTGCAAAAGTAGCGCTACCAGCCGTGGCGGGAGCTCTCGGGGGTGCGCCGGCAGCGGCTGCGGCGGCGCCTCCACCCGAAAAGCCCGAGGCGGAAGCGGACCCTCTGACGCACTCGGCAGTGCGAGAGCGGGCGATGCGCAACGCAGCCTTCTGGCGCTCGAGCTCGGCCAGTGTCGTCTGCAAAAGCTCAGCCAGCTCTCCTGCACTTGGACCCCAAGCCTCCGCGCCTCGACCGAATTCAACTTCGGTAAGAGCGGCGTCGAGAACATCGACCGAGGCACGGAACCGCGCCAGAGCGCGCCGTTCGTCACGCACGCGCCTCGCAACCGTGGCCGTCGGGCCAACGACCCGGCTGGTGCGCAATGCTAATCCGGTGAGAGGATCGGCACGGGAGTCGGAACGGGTGAAGGCGTCAGCGAGCTGGTCGGTGCGGGCGTCGGCGAGCCCCTCGGCACGCGAGTCGGCGATCTGGTCGGCGCGGGAGTCGGCGAGCTGGTCGGTGCGGGAGTCGGTGAGCTGGGAGGGCTGCAAGTCAGTGAGCTGGTCGCCGCGGGACGCGGTGAGCTGGGCGGCGCAAGAGTCGGCACGCTGGCCGGCGCAGCAGGAGTCGGCAAAGCTGGGAGCCGGCGACACCTCGCTGCGCTCTGCGCTGTGGCCCCACGGAAGCACGGCCCTGTGTTGTGCCGCCCCGGCGGTGGCCGCACTGGCAGCCCGCTCGCGGGTAGCACGCAGCATAGCCGCTGCGCCCAGCGAGCGCCCGGCCAGCAGGGCAGGTGCAGAGCTGGCGCGCGGCGCGACGCTATGGGCGTCGGCGCGGCACCCTGGCAGGGGGGGCAGGGTGCTGGCTCGAAAGGGCGGGAGCACCGCGGCCGCGGTACGGGCGGCCCCCAGGTCGGCCTCCGGGCGAGCTTGCGTGCGTCGCATGGCGGCAGTAGGCATCGCGGGGGTCTGCACCGTACAACGTGGCGCAGCCCGCGACCCTGGGTCGCTGCAGCTAGCGACCGCGCTCGGCTCTGCGTCTGGAGACGCGCCAGGGGCGCTCCGACGCTCCCCCGGCATGCCGCGGAGGCGAGCACCGAGGGAGGCGTCGAGAGCCGAATCCCGAGTGGCGACCCCGCGCGAGCGGTTCGCGTCGTCACGCCTTCCCGCCGCCAAGAGCCCTCTGCCCAAAGCACGGCGAGTAGCGCCGCCAGAGGCCGGGGCATCGGGGCCGGTAACATCGCGCCCAGGCCCGAGGAGGAAGGCTTTGGCGTCACAGAGAGCACGCCATTTCCTGCTGGCCTCGATCGACTTATCGCGGTCGGGATGGCAGGCCCA